GGAGGCGCTCTGCGCCCAGAGGTTAAAGATGGACCACGTCATGAACGTGGTCGTGAACTCCGTGAACTGGATATGCTCCCGTGGCCTGAACCACAGCGAGTTCACCACTCTGCTTTACGAACTGGACTGCCAGTACGGCAGCCTGCTCTACTACACAGAGATTAAGTGGCTCAGCCGCGGGCTGGTGCTGAGGAGGTTCTTTGAATCGTTGGAAGACATTGATTCCTTCATGTCATCCCGAGGAAAGCCCCTGCCTCAGCTGAGCTCTCAGGACTGGGTCAGAGACCTGGCCTTCTTGGTCGACATGACAACGCACCTGAACACCCTGAGCATCTCCCTCCAAGGCCATTCACAAATCGTCACGCAGATGTACGACCTGATCCGGGCGTTTCTGGCGAAGCTGTGCCTTTGGGAAACTCACTTGGCAAGGAATAACCTGGCCCACTTCCCCACCCTGAAATCGGTTTCCAGGAATGAAAGCGACAGCCTGAACTACATTCCCAAAATTGTGGAATTGAAGACCGAATTCCAGAAACGACTGTCTGACTTCAAACTCTACGAGAGCGAGCTGACCCTGTTCAGCTCCCCTTTCTCCGTGAAGATCGAGAGCATCCACGAGGCCCTGCAGATGGAGGTGATTGAGCTGCAGTGCAACATGGTGCTGAAAACCAAGTACGACCAGGTGGGCATCCCCGAGTTCTATAAGCACCTCTGGAGCAGCTACCCGAGGTACAAGAGCCACTGCGCCAAGATCCTCTCCATGTTCGGGAGCACGTACATTTGCGAACAGCTGTTTTCCATTATGAAACTGAGCAAAACGAAATACTGCTCGGAGCTGAAGGACTCCCAGTGGGACTCCGTCCTCCACATCTCGACATGAAGAGCATGCTCCCCAATGCCCCATGGGGCATAGACCACAACCTCTAGACCCAAGGGATTTTGAGACGGGGAAATGAGTTATTAAATGTTTCTTTTTCTGTGTGTTTTTTCACTATGGCTCACAAATATAATTTGCAGTATCATACCTGTTTTTATGACATTTTTTGCTTCATTATAGTCCAGTAAAAACTGAGAAAGTTTTCTTGTATTTCTAGTTGACTTTTCTTATGCCTGGCCCTTGTCACTCAGTCACATACTTGCTTGACCCCTGTAGGCATTGGGCTGGCGTCTCCAGGTTTAAATCAGTCAGCAGAGACCAGAGGGAGATAGACAGACGTGTGTTTTCATTGAGGGGCACGATGCACACACATTTATCTCTCTCTCTCTCTCTCTCTCTCTCTCTCTCTCTCTCTCTCTCTCTCACACACACACACACACACACACACACACACACACACACCTTTTGAATGGTGTCCCTTGTGACCTAACATGATTCCAAGTTTAAGCAGAGTTGGTTGGAGACGTAGTATTACTGTGTTATCTATCAGCCTCTGCCTCCACATGAACCCAGAAAGTGAGGGTTTAAAATGGAAAACCGCAAAACAAAGAACATTTTGCCTTGAAAAGGCCAAAAAAAATTGAGGTTAGGAGGTTGTCTCTTTTTTCTTTTCTTTTTCTTTTTTCCATATATTTTATTGATTTTTTTTTATAGAGAAGAAGGGAGAGGGGTAGAGAATTAGAAACATCGATGAGAGAGAAACATCAATCACCTGCTACTGGGGATGTGCCGGCAACCAAGGTACATGCCCTTGACCAGAATCGAACCTGGGACCCTTCAGTCCGCAGGCTGATGCTCTATCTACTGAGCCAAACCAGTTAGGGCTGTTGTCTTTTTTTCAATGTTATTTTGAAATAATTCAAATTTATAGAAAAATTGCAGAAATAAAAATAGTATGAATATTTATATGCCTTTCAGCCAGATTCTCATATTGCAACATTTTACCCCATGTTTTATTATTTGCTCTCTCTCCCTCTCTCTCTTTTGCGTGTGTACATTACCTATAAGTGTACAAATGAATAAGTATATAACATGTATGTAAACATATGTGCATAATTTTTTTCTAAACTATTTGAGGGCAAGTTGTGTACATCATTTACCCCTACATACTTTATGGATTATTTTCTAGGAATAGGGATATTCTCTTAACATTACCAGGATTTAGTTACTAACTTCTGTAAACCAAACATTGATGCAATACTTCCAACCAGTTTACCATTCATATTCCAATTTTGTCAGTTGACTCAAGATGTCTTTTTTTTTTTTAAAGTGTAATGTGTGCTTTTGTTGTTTTTTTTAAAACATGTGTTTATTGATTTCAGAGAGGAAGGGAAAGGGAGAGAGGGAAAGAAATATCCATGATGAGAGAGAATCTTTGATCAGCTACCTCCTCTATGCCCCCCACTGGGGATTAAGCCCACAACCCGGGCATATGCCCTTGACCAGAATTGAACCTGGTACCCTTCAGTTCACAGGCTGATGCTCTATCCACTGAGCCAAACCAGCTAGGGCCAAGGCGTTCCCTGAAGGGTTGTCATTTGAGCATTTGAGAGTGTGTATGTATATATATATATATATAATCTGTGTTCTTAGTCTCTATTCATCATTGGAATTAGGGACCCAAAATTGTGAATACTTTCCAGGTTGGAGGAATTAATCTGATTAGAATGCAAAAAGGCTGAGGATCCTGCCCTGGTGACCCCCTCAGGAAGCCATGGAGAGGCTTTCATATGAGTGAAGGGAGGCTGCAGGAGGAGGAGACCAGCCTTCAGGTGGTGGCCTGCTCAAGGCACCCAGCCCACTGGAGCCTGATGCATGTCCTCAGCCACAGGGGAAATGACCCAGCTGGCACTTCCTGTCACTGGAAGGCTGGCTGCAGGCACAGCTGGGTCCCGCTAGCTCAGAGGCTCACTTCCTGGAGAAGAGATGCAGGATGCACTGATTTACAAGGAGTGGGAGGGGCAGCGGGGACCAGCTCCTGGTGCACCTGAGCAGGTGTGGATCCCCAATATCAGAGCTGGGGCCCTGCATCAGCCAGACCTGCCTGAGACCTAACACGATAGTGGTCACAGACGATGTGAGATTAGGGATCTTGGGTGGTCTTCACACAGCGCAGGATGGCGGCGGGAAAAGCTCAGCCTCCTCAGTTTGTAGACTGGCAGCTGAGGCCCCGCCCCAGGCCACACATCCAGTAGAGCAGCGTTTTTCAACCGCTGTTCCGCGGCACACTAGTGTGCCGCGAGATGTTGCCTGGTGTGCCGTAGGTGCAGACAAGACAAGAATTTTATAATTTTTCACTATTTTGTTTACTTAATACTTCATAATAAAGTAATTATAAAATACTTTCTTTGTGTTTATTTGATTCCTATTCAAGAGAATTACTTTATATATAGTCAATATAGGCACAGAGTTAAATTTTTTAACATTTTCTAATGGTGGTGTGCCTCGTGATTTTTTTCATGAAACAAGTGTGCCTTTGCCCAAAAAAGGTTGAAAAACACTGCTGAGTAGAGGAGTCTTCAGGATTCAAACCCAGGTCTGTGTGACTCCAAAGTCCACGGTTTTTTTGTTTGTTTGTTTTTTTCTTTTTTCTTTTCCTTTTCTAAGTGGCCGCTGTGCCTGACCTGGTGTGCAGCCCCAGCTCATCTGCTGTGTGTGGCTCCCTGGGGCTGGCCCATCGGTGACAGGGAAGGGACAGCAGGGTTCAGCCTGCCTGCCTTCTGTGGACTGGACCGTTCACAGGGAGCTTTGAATCAACTCCTAAAGTCCCTGGGTTCCTTTACTCTGCAGTGTGTGTGGGGACCAGGGTGGCTTGACCAGCCGTCACTCACAGGGCTGGGGAAATGGCGGAAGGCGTGGGCTGGTCTCAGCAGTCCCGGTGAGGCGGTGTCTGTGAGTGGGAACACGTTGGAGCGCTGTGGTCACAGATAGGGAAGGGCCCAGCCCAGGAGCGGGGCCTGGCACTGGTGGATCCCTGCGAGCTCTCGGGGTGGAGGAACCCTGCATCTGTCCCAAGGCCCTGCATTCCCATCCAGGTGCAGAGGAAAGAGCTGCTTACTCTTCCAACCCGGGAAACACAAGTGGGCTGCGGGGGGGCTCTGGAAGCTGTCCCACATCACACTGCCTCCTCGGAGCATCCTCAACCAGGGCACCGCCCACCAGGACCAGCGCACAGGTCAGGAGCTCTGCAGAGTCCCACGGGGCTTGAAAGGCAGAAGAAGGAAAGCCTGGCTCCACCTCCCACCTCTGCTACCTACTTGCCCAGTTACCTTAAACTAAGGTGACCAGTCGTCCCGCTTTTGGCGGGACAGTCCCGATTTTTAACCATTTGTCCTGTGTCCCCGGCGTTTTAAAACAGTCCCGATTTTTTGAAAAATTGTTAAAAATCGGGACGTCTGGTCACCTTACCCTAAACAAATCACCCACATTCTCCGAGCCCTGGTTTCCTCATCCGCAAAGTACCTAGTACCCCACAGAACTGTTCTCAGCACTAGACACAACGTAAAGAGCTCAGCTCTCTGCTTGGACCTAAGAAGACTGGCCACTGCACAGACAGTGCAGGCTAACCCAGACCTGGCGCCTACCTCATGCCCCACTGGCAGCTGCTAGTCAGCTTTCCTGTGCTGGCAGAGACCTGCGGGGCTGCCCGCTGGCATGTGTCTATGGGGCCAGCCCAACACCAACTTAAGGAAACCGGAAATACAGAAAAATGTGGGGGGAAATGTTGGCTGAGTGGCTACAGCGTCGGCCTGCGGACTGAAAGGTCCCAGGTTCAGTTCCGGTCAAGGGCATGTACCTTGGTTGCGGGCACATCCCCAGTAAGGGGTGTGCAGGAGGCAGCATCAATATTCCTTTCTCATTGTTTCTAGCTCTCTATCCCTCTCCCTTCTTTTTTAAAAAGAGGCAAGCAATCAATGTTTCTCTCTTTCTCTCTCTGCTCTTGCTCTCACTCTCACACTCTTCCCCTTCCTCCCTCCCTTCCACCCTCTCTGAAAATCAATGGAAAAAATATTGTAGGGTGAGGATTAACCAAAAGAAATGAAATTAAAAATTATGAAAATAATTTTTTTGCCTTATACTGTATTTAATTTTTTTTTAAGTTATAATTGCACTGAACAGGCTAAAAGGTTGGGATTGCCTGTGGTTAGTTGTCCCACAGCTTTGCATGACAGTCCTTGACACTGGACTTTTTCAGCAAACAAGGGTCTGCAAAAAGCAAACGGAGTTAGGGCCCAGTGGTTTCCTCAAGGCCTCTCTCCATCGTTTGATAGTCAATTATTCTCTTTTGAAGCACCTGTCCCCTCGCTAATTTTGTCTGATCTCTATGGTAGCAGCCTTGCCTAACCTCAGCAGCCACTCCCCCACAGGTGCAGCTCCTCAAGCTACCCATGGCCTCCGTGACAAGCTGCACGCACACATTGGGCAGGGCTGTGACCTCCGTGGGGGGTAGTGGGGGAAGTTGCAGAAGCCGAGGTCGGGTTGCACACTGCCCTGGCCTTGGCCAAGATCTGTAAGGTTTGCAGCTCCAATGTGCACCTTAGAGTCTGCATGTTGGGAAAGACCCACCAGCAAAGCCATGGGCTAGCAGTAATACCAGGGTAAATGGCCAGGATCTGTTCATCCGAATGTTTGCTAACTGAGCAGGTCCTCAGTGAAGAATCAGACGTGCCTCCTCCCTTTACCTAAATTACAATTTTTTTTTGTCAACTAAGCCGCACACACAACGTCACTCCCTGTCGTGACGCCCCTCCCTGCGTACTGTGTCCAGCCCTTCTTCGGGACTGGTCTGCAGTGGAGCCAGCGTTCTAGCAAACGGCTGACCACACAAAGGCCAGGGGAAGCCAGGAGTTCCCTTTGCACTTGGCCTTGTGCAAACTCCATCTTGGCCAAGGCCGGGGCAGTATGCAACTGGACCGCGGCTTCTGCAACTTCCCCCCTGCAAACTCCCCAGCAGAGGTCACAGCCCAGCCCGATTCAAGCCCAGCACCCCCTCGAGTCTCCGCGGAGCCACTGTCCACGCTAAGCAACATTTATTGAGGGGGGCGGGGAGCTGCGGGGCGGGGCCCGGGGTGCCTCAGGTAACCGGACCTCAGGCTCTAATCACATCTGTACAGGGATCCCGGCGGAGGGGGCGGAGCGCCCTCGGGGGGCGATGCCCGGCCTCAGACGGGGGTCGCCAGCTTCCGCTTGGTGCTCTCGCTGCAGCGGTGCAGGATGAGGTCTGCGCTGGGCCGCGGGGGCACCGCGGGCTGCGGCTTCGGGGGGTCGATCTCCTCTGCGGGCAGAGGGCGGGCCCGGGTAAGAGACCTCCACCCCCGCCCAGACCCCGACTCCGACCCCAGCCCGCCAGCGGGCATCCTCGGCCCCGCCCGCCCCGCGCCCCGGCACTCACTCAGCGGGCTCCCCGCGCTCTGCGGCCCGGGCCGGCTCTGGCGCCGGCGCTGCTGCAGGACGCGGACGCTGTTGCGCCGGTAGGTGTCCTGGCTGACGCGCTTTCGCGACCTCTGGTGGATGCTCTGTGCATTGCGGATGGACGACCTGGGCCCGGCGGGACGGGAACGCGGGTCATCATCGGCTGCGTCCCTGCCCGCGGGGCCTCGCCTGGCCACCCTGGGGTCCAACGCCGGGCCCGGGAAAGTGGGGGGCGGGAGGGGCGGGGGGGGGAAAGGGTGGGGTGTCTCAGAGCCCAGGTCCATGTCCCACGCCCCTCACCAGCCTTCAGCCGGCCCTCTCCCCAGGAAGCCCACGGACCATCATCCCCAAAGCCTATGACTTCAAAGCCTCCACCGCACACCCCTGCCTTCCCACGCCCCGTGCCAGCACCACTGAGTAGCGCTGGGTGAGGGTGCTGCCTCCCCGCCAGGCTCGGAACCCCCACCCTGTCTCTCCTGCTCCGGTCCTGCCAATCCGAGGCCGACAGAGGGAACCCGCGGAACCCCCTCCTCAGCCCCCCCAGGTCCCCACCCCAGCCCAGAGGACTCACCTGCGGGGCGGCGCCCCGCGGCTCTTGATCTGGCGCTGGGCCTGCACTACGTCCTGCCCCGCCTCCTGCAGGTAAATGGCCGGGAAGAAGCCGGTGGCGTCTTCTTTCCTGCAGGAGACAGAAGGCCAGTCAGTGGGAAGACGGAGGCTCCCGCTAAACGTTGGGTTCCAGGCAGCCAAGAGGTGGCCAATACCCAGCTGGCCCACACCAGACCCGGCCCCTCCGGGCCTCCGCTTGCCGGTCTGTGCCCCACAGGTGTTGGGAGGGGGAGAACATGAGCAGATGGAGATCTCTCCATGGACCCCTGTTGACTACAAAACGTCTGCAATAGTGCATATGTCTGTTTTTTCTTTTCCACGGGTCGCCTGTGTGTACTAAGAAAGCTTTGCCCAGCTCCACTCTTCAAGTTCTCCTATGCTTTCTTCCAGAAGCTTCTTAGTTTCGGGTTTTTGAACTTGGTAAAACCTGTGGTCCATCCCAAATAAACGTGTATGGTGTGAGGTAGGGTTCTAGGCTTGTTTGCTTCCATGTGGATATCCAGTTGTTCCAGCACCATTTGTTGGGTAGATTTTCCCTTCCTGTTCTCACTATTACATCCGGAGGGGGAGGGGGGAACTTTACATAACACAAACTTCGCTCAGTAACGCTGATGTTTCTTGGATGGTGGGATGATCACAAGCAGATTCTCAGGGGTTGACTAAGGGTGGATCTAAAAGGTTGGGGAACCTTGTCTTGGGTGGGTGGGGGTGGAAGCGGGAATAGGGGGGAATAAATGGTGATGGGGGAAAAAATAAAAATACTAAAATCAAGAAAAAAGAAAAAGAGACCCTGTCTCACAGCCTCCAGCCCAGGACCGTGCTGAAGATGGGTGCTGTGGCCACACGCTCGCTGAGTCCTGGGCTGGCCCTGTGGCCCAGGGCTCTGAAAGCTTGTCAAGGCCCTGGGGAGGCCCAGCGGCTCCGGGGAGATGTCTCTGCTTTCCCTAGAACCCGTCGGGAGGGGAGGGGCCTAGGAGGGGAGGGAGAGGGGGCAGAGGGAGGAATTGGTGTGGCATTGCAGGAAAATATCTAAAAACAAAAGCATTCACAGGTCTGTTCTACTAGTTATCAAACATAATGATTAATACAAAAATGAGTTGTGTTGCTGGAGAAGGTATAATAGATGGACTGGTCAGGGGAAATGACCCCAAAATCACAAAGGAAAAATGTGCCCACTCTGACGAAGACACGGAACCCAAGAGACCAGTAGGGTGGGACTATCAGCCATGGACACTGAGCCCAGAGAGGCGCAGCAGCTCACCCAGGGTCACACAGCTAAGGCAACCCGAGTCCGCCCTGAGTCCCAACAGAGCCTGCCCCAGGCCAGGGCTGGCCACGTGGGAGGGAGAGGCACTCGCCTACCTGACGACCCACCAGCCGTCCAGGAGCTTGTGAATGACCTCGATGGTTTCGCCCTCCTGGAGGGATATCTCGTCCTCCAGGGCAGCAGTGTAGGCCTTGATGGTGACGTAGGGCTCCCCTGTCCACAGGGAGGGGGCGGAGCGTGGTCTGAGGATCTGCTCTGCACAGAACTCATCACTCCCCCTCTCCTCTCTGGGCCTGGGGCTTCCTCTCTGGGTCCTTCTTGGTCTCCTGCAGGCTCCTCCCAGCCACTGGGGGGCATCCTGGAGTTCCGCCCTCTCTACCCTCTCCACCCACCACTCTCCACACCAGGGTCAGGAGCTCCCAGGATTTCAGAGTCCACAGGGGAGTGGATCCGCCGGAAGTGCGGGACTGCAGGGCCCCAAACAGGGAAACCTGAGCCACTCAACTCCCGCCAGCTGTGGGCAGGGGGGCTGCAGAACACCTTTCCCAGTCTTACCGAGGAAGCATAAATCCACATAAAATTGTGAAATCTCTCCGTTTTAAAATATGGGTGACCAATTCTGACTGTTGACAACCTCCACAAGGGCTCCCAACAGCCCAGAAGCTGCCAATTTTCCCTCCCCGTCAGCATGATACCCCCTCCTCTGGGAAGCCCTCTTTCCTGAGCCTCAGCGCTGCTCACATTCAGCCCTAGCCAACTGCCACCCAGAATCCCAGGCCGACCTCATCACCGCCCACCTCTATTCCTCCCCCGGGTTCCCTGCCCTGACCACCTCCTACCAGAACCCCCAGCTCTGACTGCCCCTCTGCCCAGCCCCCATGATATCCAACCCCAAAGGAGTCACTGCTGGTTCTCAGTATCCCCGTGCCCCTCCCACCCCCTCCTCCCTCACCCCGTGGCCATGGGGGACGGGGGAGGGGGCGGGGGCACCTTCGTAGTTGGGCTCTGGGTCCTCTGGCTCATCAGGACTGTCCAGGGGCTCCAAGAAGGAGGCTGGGACCCAGCCTCGCTTGGTCTTCATTTGGCAGAACCACCAGCCTGTGTCCGGGGGTTGAGGCAATAAGTCAGGGGGGGCCTGGCAGCCCCCTCAGCCATCGGGGTGGTGAGGACACTTGGACAGACACACAAACATCCAACACCCAGATTCAGAAATGTCACCTTCGCCACACCCCACACCAAAATCACCCCCACCTCATCACCGCCCCCCCCCCACACACACACAGGGTCACAGCTCCACAGCGTGGAGCCCACGTCACACTCATGACGAGGAGCTGGCCTGCCCCGGGGTATGCCCCTCAGAGATGCACAGGGAAGCCGCCCCAGCGAGCGTGCTCAGAGGGAGGGTGACCTGCAGCGCGGGGCGGACAGTCAGGGCCCCAGGGCAGGGCGGGGATGAGGCCTGAGGCTGCCTGGAGGGCAGAGCCTTGGCGGGGGGGGGGGGGGGGGGGGGGGGGGGAGGCAGGAGGCTGACCGCTCTCGCCCTTCTCCACGACTTCCACCACGTCGCCCATGGCCAGAGCCATCTCGGTGCCCGAGTTCTTCTCGTAGTCGGCAATGGCCCGGTACGTCTGCAGGATGATGGGGCCGGTGATGTCTGGGCAGAGGGAGGGCAAGGTGAGTGGACGCTGTGGGCGTGACTGCCTCCTCCTGGCTCTCGCTGGGGTCCCCAGTGGGGGCTGCCAGGACTGGCACTGGCGGGCAGCCTCTCCCCACCCAGCTCCAGGCATCCCCCAGGCGGAGGCGCCCTCCAGGCTGGAGAGCAGCGGAGATCGCCTAGTGCGTTTCAGACACAGTCACACCACACACCCCCTTTCTCGTTTGGTTAGCCAGCCATCCGCCTCAACCTCAGCTGACACACACTGCACGAGCATCACGAGAAATGAGTTTCTGATTCCACAGCTCTGCGGCGAGACCAGAGAGTGCGTTTTCAACCAGCCCAGGTGCTGCTCCTGCTGCTGCCGTGGTGGGCTGAACTGTGCACACACACAGACACACACACACACACACACTCCCCAGTTCATACAATGAGGCCCTAACCCCAGGACTCCAGAACTTGTGTGCATTTGGAGAGAGAGCCTTAAGGAGGCGATTAAGGTTAAATGAGGTCATCGAGGTGGGGCCCTGACCCAACAGGATCGGCGTCCTTATAAAAAGAGGAAGAGCCCTAACCAGTTCGGCTCAGTGGATAAAGCATTGGCCTGCGGACTGAAGGGTCCCAGGTTCGATTCCGGTCAGGGGCATGTACCTTGGTTTCAGGCACATCCGCAGTATGGGGTTGTGCAAGAGGCAACTGATCGATGTTTCTCTCTCATCAGTGTTTCTACCTCTCTATCCCTCTCCCTTCCTCTCTGTGAAAAATCAATAAAATATATTTTTCAAAAAAGAGGAAGAGACACCAAGGAAAGGCCATGTGAGGACACAGCAAGGAGGCAGCCGTCTGCAAGCCCAGGAGAGAGGCCTCAGCAGAAAGCAACCCTCATTGATGTTTCTAACTCTCTATATCCCTCTCTTCCTCTCTGTAAAAAAAAAAAAAAATCAATAAAATACATTAAAATAAAATAAAAAAGCAACCCTCACACCTTGACCTCGGACTTCCAGCCTCCAGAATGGTGAGAAATAAGTGCCAGCTGCCCGGCCGGTGGTGCCGTTACAGCAGCCAGAGCAGGCTGAGAGACTCTGCGTCACCCCCGAAGGCCACTTTGGCCCTCAAACCTGTTCATTCATTCATTCATTCAGCCACAAGCTCCCCCAGCACCTGTGCCGGGCTCTGTAGCTCCCTTGGCTACCCAGTGAACCCCAAAGACCCCAGAGCGTAGCACCAACACCCTTCACAACTGCTCTCGCTGCTCTTCTCCCTGCACACCCTGAGCCCGGCTCCCGACCATGTCAGCAGTCCCGGTGACCCGCCCAGGCTGCCCCGGCCCCTCACCGGTGGCGGCAGAGATAGTCTTGCCATCTTTAGGCACCAGGTACGTCTCTGGCTTCTTCACCCTGCGGCGGGGGACAGCGCGGTTAGACTCCGCTTCCCGCGGCGACCGGGGCCGCTGCCGAGAGAGGGCGGCGACTGGACTGGCAAGGAAAGGGCGTTGGGGGCGATGGGGTTGTTCCTCCAGCCGGAGGCGAGGACCCCAAGGAGAAGGCGCCACCTGTCCAAGACAGAAAGGGCCTCCTCCCCAGGGAATGGCGAGGCCCTGGCCCTGGGGAAGCCTGCGGTCAGCTCCTGGACCAGCTCCCTCCGGAGCCTGGAGAGCAGCCAGCGGGAAGGGCTCCTTCCCCAGCCGCTGGCCGCAGCCCTTCCTGGCAGCAGGGGTGAGTGTAGGGGTCAGTCAGCACCGGCTGGAGTGACGGTCTTTGGCAGCCCTGCCCTCCCTCCGGTCTCCCCCACCCCTAGTGGCCGGGGAGGGACAGAGAGGGGGGCCTTCCAGCCTGTTCAGCCTCAGGTGCTTCCAGGCCGGGCCCTGAGGACAGGAGAGCCCTGGGGCGGGGCTGCCAGGGGCAGAGACCTGTTCATTAATTCAGAGGCCACGGACCCACATCATCCTCTCACACAGCCCCCGGGACTGCATTTGGCCCTCACCGCCCCATCACACATGGGTAAACCGTTTTCAGAAGGCTTTTGGACCCCAACCCAACCCCCCAACCCCCCCGTGCCTCCTGCAGCCTTGACCTCAGAGGGTCCGAGTGGGGACTTGGAAAGGATGCTCAGTGGGTGCAGGTCACACGGGCCAGGGTTGGAATTCTGCCTCCTTCTCTCTCTGGCTGTGTGACTTCGGGCAAGTCGACGCCCCTCTCTGAGCTTCAGTCTCCTAACCTGTCACCTGGGGGAAGTCCCACGCCCGCCAGGATGGGTTACCGCCCCATTTCCTCCCCCACGGCCCCGGGACAGGGAAGGGGCCACTCACTGGCTGTCGGAGGGGAGCTTGAGGTCGTCGGGGCGCACCTTGAAGAAGTCCAGGAGGAGTGGGCAGCGGGAGATCTTGGCCGGCAGGTCCATGAGCGCACTGCAGTACTCGGTGAGCGTGCCCTGGCGGCTCTCGGCTGCCCGCTGCCCGTCGAACCACCTCGGCGCTGGCCGGATCGGGGAGGGGCGGGCGCCAGAGAAGCCGTGAGCACGTTCTCGAGGTCAAGTCCACGCAGGGGTGAGGGCAGAGCGGGCAGCTTGGGGGGCAGGTGAGGGGGGCCAGGACAGGGGACCCCACCCAGGGGACTCAGCCCCTCACCTGGCAGGTGGGGGATGATCCTGTTCTCTGGCTTGATGTCCCCCGCCTCAATAGGAAACATTTCCTTTAAGGTTTTCTAGACAGAAAAGAAAACGTGAAGGGGCATTTTCCCATTACAACACTGTTAAGAGCACAACATTGGAAATGACCTTCTCATCGCTCTGGCTACAAACGGCTGGTGGCGACCTTGGCTCCTCTCTCTCCCTCCCACCGCACAGCCAGCCACCGGCACATCCTTCCGGTTCCACGGCAAACATCCATCCAGAGCCTGACCCCCCTCACTCCCCACACTGCCACCGCCTGCTCCGAGCTGCCACCAGCCCTGGGTTTTACCAACTTATTATGTCTCTTTCCCCTCCCACCCAGAAGGACCCTCTTAAGACCTAAGGGATCCTCTCAACCCTCTAAAAACCCACGTTGGGTCCTGTCCCTCCTCCGCTCAGAACACTCCCCACCTCTCTGCTCCCTCAGCGTGCAAGCCAGAGGCCTCCTGTTGGCCTACAGGCCCTGCTAGGCCTGGCCCCGCCCTCCGCACTCACCCCCCTGCCACCTCCCCCCCTGGCTCACGGTGCCCCTGGAATACGCCAGGCCCACTCCTGCCCCAGGGCCTTTGCACGTGCTGTTCCCATGCTCGCCCTGCACATATCAGAAGGTCCCTAAAGAAGACCCTCTTGAGCTCGTGTGGAGTGAGTACAGAGTTTCTGTGTGGGAAGATGAAGACATTTTGAAGATGGGTGGCCAGGACCAGCTTATGACATTGTGAATATATGTAATGCCACTGAGCTGAACTTAACGTGGCTAAAACTGTAAATTTATGTGGTTCACATTTTACCACAATAAAAATATATTAAATGAAATGTTTCTTAAAGTTTAAGAAATGCCCCCTTCCCTGTGGGCTGGTGGGGACAGACTCCGGGCACCTCAGCGCCCAGCCAGCCCCCAGGTCTCTCTCCTCCCCCAGAGGCAGAGCTGGGACTGGGTGTGCCGTCCCTCCCTGACCCCCAGGGCACCGGGCACTCACGTGGAACTCATAGATCTCGGTGAACCGCCGGTAGACCACCTTCTCGGACAGGTCCTGCCACTTCACCAAGAACATGTACACCTGGGGGCGGGAGGGCCGCGCTCAGCTTCCAGGGAGGCCTCGCCACGCAGCTGGGCAGCCCCCCCCCCCCCCAGGGAAACCTGAAGAACTGGGGACCGAGTGCTCTGTGGGCAACGTGACCCTAGAAAAGACACTGAATTCACGGGCCCCCCTGCTAACGCCACTCTCCAGCGTTAGGACCTGGGACAAGATGGTCGCCTCCCTCAGATGTCTCACCTGTCACGGAGACACAAGTAGGACCTCACTGTAGGGCTGGTATGAGGGAGTTTCAGGAGATACAGAAAGCGCTGAGCTCAAACAATACAAGGACCCAGTAAGGTACTGTACTGTTCCAAGTATATCAAATGTCCAGAACAGACAAGTCCATAAAGACAGAAGGTACAATAGATTAGTGATTGCCAGGTAGGGAGGGCCAATGTACATTGGGGACGAAGAATAACCACGAGCAGGTATACGCTTGTTTTTTTGGGGGGGGTTATGAAAATTTTCTAAAATTGGTTATTGCAATGATTGTGCAACTCTACCCACATATTAAAAACCATTGAATTGTATATACTATGTAGGTGCACTGTATAGCATGGAAATTATATCTCAGTAAATTATATCTCATTGCCGAAACCAGTTTGGCTCAGTGGTAGAGCGTCGGTCTGGGGACTGAGGGGTCCCAGGTTCGATTCCGGTCAGGGGCATGTACATTGGCTGCGGGCACATCCCCGGTAGGGGATATGCAAAAGGCAGCTGGTCGATGTTTCTCTCTCATTGACATTTCTGGCTCTCTATCTCTCTCCCTTCCTCTCTGTGAAAAATCAATAAAATATACATATATATACACACACACACACACACACACACACACACACACACACAAATAAATAAATAAACAAATTATATCTCATTAAGCCTGGCCACTGTGGCTGAGTGGCTGAGCACCAGCCTATGAGCCAGGAGATCACAATTTGATTCCCTGCCAGAGCACATGCCCGGGGTGCAGGCTCGATCCCCCATGGGAGGTGTGCAGGAGACAGCCGATCAATGATTCTTTTATTGTTGATGTTTCTATCTCTCCCTTCCTCTCTAAAATCAATAAAAGAAATATTTTTTTTACACTGTAAATATTTTCTTTATTAGAAACAACATACTCCTCTTTTATCAAGATTTTAATGTATGAAATCTGAATTCTGCCTGTGATATATTGATACATAACATCAATTTTTTAAAGTCAGAGTTGTGGCTAGACTTACTTTTAAATTCACGGTCTTAAGCAACTGAACCAGCTCTCTGTACCTTGACAGTCTTTCCTCCTAACTACTATAACAACCTGTATTAATTCCATCATAATATGGACCATATTGCATTTTAATTACTAGTGTATAGGTCTCATCAGATTGGGGTTCCTTGAGAGCAGACTTTCATGTTCACTTTGCCTTGAAGTAAATAGCAAATTATTTACTAAATGATTAATGACAGAACACTACTTCTATTCAAATGGTATGTGTCCATATTATTGAGCATTAATTTCCAAATATTCTATAATTTGATTTAGAACCTTCAAATTTAAATATGAAACTTATACCAAGGCTTTGACTTAGTTTGTGCTAAATCATTTTTTAAAATGTGTAGCTTTGGGACATTTTATTACAAAAAGCTGTTTTTATATAAGTGACTAACAACTTAAAATTCACCATACATTTACTTCATTTTTTAGCTTGACCGTCTAGTAAATCTTTAGCTTCATTGATTTTGGCTGCTATGTAAGGAGATCCTCCCTTGTCTGGGTGATTTAACAGCATAATACGTCGGTGAGCATCTCTTATTTTTCCTTTATTGGCAGTAGGGCTTACACCTAATATTAATGCTGCTTCTCGTTTTGTCATTTTGGGTTCAAACCCACCTCTGTAATAGCTACCACTGAAGGCAGATTTTGGTAGACTTTGAAAAACTTGTTTTACTTGAGGCTCCATATGCTTCATGGCTTGCAAAACATAACGGCCTGCAAATCCTGCAGCAGCAATGGTCAATCCAACTGCGATCACTGTACTGGCCATGGCTCCGGCTTGACTTCCCTGTCTCCGCCGAGAGCGCGGCTCATCCCAGCCCCGAAGGCCACGGCCACCCGCTCCCCGCCGCCCCCGGACAGCAAGGGCGCCACCAGCGGGGACCAAAGGTCCTCACGCGGGCAGCCGGAGCCCTCGGCAGCGGTACCGCAACCCGGGCCGGAAACTGTCGTAAAAGTCAAGAAATATTTTTTTTAATGGTGGAAATGGGCCTTGGGTTAGTTAGAGCAGTGTTTCCCAACCTTCTCTCATGATGAGAATCACCTGGTGGAGTTGTTAAATCACAGATTCCTGAATCCCAACTAAGAAGTGCTAAACTAGAATTTTTGAGAACATATAGGTAAAATTGCATATGTTCTCAAAAATTCTAGTTTAGCACTTCTTAGTTGGGATTCAGGAATCTGTGATTTAACAACTCCACCAGGTGATTCTCATCATGAGAGAAGGTTGGGAAACACTGAGTTAGAGCATTAGCCTGAGCACCAAAGGGTCACAGGTTCAATTACTGGTCAGTTACTGGGTTGCAGATTTGATCAGGGCCTGGTCTGGTCGGAGCACATGCGAGAGGCAACCAATTGATGTGTTTCTCTCACATCAATGTTTCTCTCTCTCTCCCTCCCACTCTTCTACTCTCTCTAAAAATCAATGGAAAAAATGTCCTCAGCGAGGATTAAGAACAACAAAAAGGTGGAAATGGTAAATTATACACACACACACACACACACACACACACACATACACACACACACACACACATTCATAATAACTTAAAAAAAAAAACCCACAAACCAGCAATGTGGTATTATGAACAAAAAAATGGTACAAAATGGAAAATCTAGAAGTAGATCAAGCGCATATGTAAATTTAGGTCATGATAAAAGTGGCAATTCAAGTCACAGATGTAAGGGTGGATTTTTACAAAATTGGTGTTGGGACAACTGGCACGCCTTTAGGAAAAGGTAAAGTTGGGTTTGCTTTTCACACCCCACCGCAGAAACAAACCCCAAGTGGATCAGAGTCACAAATGTAAAAATTGAAACCGTGTGAGTGCAATGAAACCACTCCCCCTCCCCGCCCCACCGAAACCAGGTGGCCCCTGAGGGACCTCAGGCAGAAACTAGACCATAATAGTTTCTCTCTCTGGTTGTTTTTTGTTGTTAGTGTTTCTCAGCAGATGAACACCAGGCCTCCTCACAGTGCTCCAGAGACCACCAGACCTAGCTGGAGCAGGCGCAGGGAGCAGTAAATGACTCTAGGCCAGTGGTTGGCAAACCACGCTCGAGAGCCACATGCAGCTTTTTGGCCCCTCAAATGTGGCTCTTCCACAAAATACCACGTGCAAGTGCGCGCGTACAGTGCAATTGAAACTTCGTGGCCCATGCGCAGAAGTCGGTTTTCAGCCTGGGCGAGTCTATTTTGAAGAAGTGGCGTTAGAACACTCAAGGGGCCAAAGAGCCTCAGGTGGCCTGCGAGCCGCAGTTTGCCCACCACCGGCCTAGGCCAACCTCCAGAGCACTGAAGAACCAAGTCCTGCTTGTTTAAAAAACATATATTTTTATTGATTTCAGGGAAGAAGGGAGAGAGAGACAGAAACATCGATGATGAGAGAGAGAATCACTGATCAGTTGCCTCTTGAATGCCCTACACTGGTGATCAAGTCTGCAACCGGCACGTGTCCTGGAATCGGATTGTGACTACTTGGTTCCTAGGTCAACGCTCAATCACTGAGTGACAACAGCTGGGCTGCCGTCTGACCCTTGAAGAAGGTGGAGGTTTATCCATCAGGAAGAAGGGATGTCTGGATCCAATATGGACACATAGTGATTAACCAATGAACTCTGCCAGGTTGACATGACCTCGTTCTGTCCTGCCCGTCCACGTTTCTTACCTGAGATGGCTTAGTTCCAGCACTAATCAGACCCTGGGTTAGAATGACGACTATGCATAGCCCCTCCTCATCTTAATTCTTTACATTTAAATTTACTTCAAATCTTTACTTGGGGAGACAGATTTGGGCTTTCTTCCGTCTCTTCATCTGTCTACCTCAGGAGTAAGACCCCCCTTTGTCTGTGAAAAACCTGTTGTTTCAGTATCTGCCCTTCCTGGGCGATGGGGCAATGGACCCACCGACTTCGGTCAGGAACACAGACGGAAACATGGGTATGAGGGACTTTCTAACCGACTCAGATCCAAAAGGCAGTAAAAGATTGCTTCTGCAAATGCATTAACATCCTTTCAATTTTTGTGTAGGAAGCCAAAATGTAAATGATAAACTGGGAGAAAATATTTGCAATACACATCACAGAGGTTTATCTTCATTGTTCTTTATGGCAACATTGTGTAATGAATAAATACTCTCCTTGAGAGAGCAGAGCAAATGCAGCAGGGGCAGGTAGCTGGGCAGGTGAACTGGGCAGGTGAGCTGGGCAGGTGAACTGGACAGGTGAGCTGGGTAGGTGAACTGGACAGGTGAGCTGGGCAGGTGAACTGGACAGGTGAGCTGGGCAGGTGAGCTGGGCAGGTGAGCTGAGCAGGTGGGCTGGGCAGGTGAGCTGAGCAGGTGAGCTGAGCAGGTGAACTGGGCAGGTGAACTGGGCAGGTGAGCTGGACAGGTGAGTTTGGGCAGGTGGGCTGGGCAGGTGAGCCGGGCAGGTGAGCTGGGCAGGTGAGCTGGGCAGGTGGGCTGGACAGGTGAGTTTGGGCAGGTGGGCTGGGCAGGTGAGCTGGGCAGGTGAGCTGGACAGGTGAGTTTGGGCAGGTGGGCTGGGCAGGTGAGCTGGCAGGTGGGCTGGGCAGGTGAGCTGGGCAGGTGAGCTGGCAAATGAGCTGGGCAAGTGAGTTGTTACTCAGCACCATCATGCTTCTGTAGAAACAGCTCCAAGGGTTGGGGAAAATCACAGGAGGGAAACATTTTAAAAACTGAGTTTTATCAGTCTCACAGGTCCCCAATTTATTCAGGGTTGGGGAGAATTATTTTATTTTATCTGAAGTCAGTTCCGCAATCCAACTTTTCTGATCTACCCCACCCACAAAGGGTGAAGTTAAAAAAGAAATGGATCTAACCCAATTGGGGAATTTTCGTCTGACGCAATAACTGAAACAGCTTTCGGGTAAATTGTCCAGCCTCTCACGCTTCTCCCCACCGCTCTCCTCTTTGAGGTGACAGTAGTGTGGCAGTTACTCAATAGCCGGGGGATGTAAGTGAAGCACAGCAGAGGGGTGTAGTCCAGAATACTGTAATAACTGTGTGTGGTGTCAGGGGCACTAGACTTATCAGGGGGTCACTTCATAAGCAAAAAAAAAAAAAAAAGTCTAACTACTATGCTGTACACCTGAACTAATACAATATTAAATGTCAACTGTAATTGAAAAAATTAAATCAATTGTAAAAAAAAATATGCATAACAGATAAAGGGTTACTATTTCCAATATATAAAAAAAACCTTTTTTTTAATTTGAAGAAAAAAAGACCAAAAGAATCTAATAGAAAAATGAGCATAAGGTATGGACAATTCATGTCACACAAGTGTATATCCAGTGTATGTAACATATAAAGAGGTGTTTGGCTTTTCTCATAATAACATAAATGCAGAGTGACTAGGTAATTGCAAATTAGTGAAAACAATCTAAAGGTTGTTTGAAGAAACAATGGTATAGTCATACAATGGAATATTTGAAGATGTAAAAAAAAACAAAAAAACACCCAAGTGCCTCAATGGATTAATTTGGAGGTAACTCCAGGGTATTATAAGAAAATGAAAAAAATGTCGCCTTGTTTGTTATCTGTGTGTAGTAAAGAAGAAATAATAAGAAAATTTCATATAGTTGCACTTATTTTTGTAAACAGAAATACAAAAAAGGTGAACCAGAAAGAGTCTTAGTCATATTTTTATGAAGATTTGATGTCTGATCTCATGTGAATATTTTACATAATTAAAAATAAAACTCAATCAACAAGGAGGGGCTTCAACGCTAAGATAACAGTTTAGGACACACATCAAATTTACACCAACAGACAGAGCAGTCCCCCTGAAGAAGAGTGGAGGGCTGACTGAAGAGCTTCTTCACAACAAACGAGAGAAGGAAAGAGAGAGAGAGAGAGAGAGAGAGAGAGAGAGAGAGAGAGAGAGAGAGAGAGAGAGAGAGAGAGAGAGAGCGCTCACAGAAACTTGGAGGAGCACAGGATTCAGGCAGGTGGGCACCCCACCCAGCACCCTGGCCTGCAGTCGCCTACCCTGAGGTGCTGCTTAAAAACAGTAGTTTCTGTTTGGCTCAGTGGATAGAGCGTCAGCCTGTGGACTGAAAGGTCCCGGGTTTGATTCCGGTCAAGGGCATGTACCTTGGTTGCGGGCACATCCCCAGTAGAGGGTGTGCAGGAGGCAGCTGATCGGTGTTTCTAACTCTATCCCTCTCCTTTCCTCTCTGTAAAAAAAATCAATAAAAAATATTCTTAAAAAACACAGTAGTTTAAAGCAGCAGTTGCCAACCTTCTGGACCTCGTGGAACCACCGGTTGGCGACTGCTGGGTTAAGAGATACCTGGGCCATACCGGAAGGAAATCTATTTGCAAACCCTAGAGCATTTGCCAAGCGTGAGAGGAACTGCAGGAACTCTCTCTGGGGTTGAGGGCAACAGAGCACCATTTGTGTCCCCACTTCTTTTTTGTTTTGTTTTGTTAATCCTCACCTGAGGATCTTTTCCTCATTGATTTTTAGAGAGAATGGAAGGGCAAGAAGGAAGGAGAGAGAGAGAGAAACATTGACATGAGATTAGTTGCCTCCCACACACACCTTGACTAGGGATGGAGATCAAATCTGAATCCAGGTACGTGCCCTTGACCTGGAATTGAATCCACAACCCTGTAGTGTGTGGGCCAACGCTCTAATCACTTAGCAATACTGGCTAGGGCTGTGCCCCCACTTCTTCATCCAGACACTGTAGCTGTAGGCGGGGCTGTCCCAGTGCACCCCAGGCCCACGCTGCTCATCCCAGGACTCGCTGCGGCTGGCCCAGCTCCAGCAACAGGCCTGGCTGGCCTATCAGACAGCCCTGCACAGCTTGCCTCGAGACTCTCCTCAGCTTCACACCTGCCACAGCTACTACTTCTGCCCACAACAACAACACTTAAATTTGCCCTGGCCAGTGGCTCAGCAGTAAGAGCATTGGCTCATGCACTGAAGCGTTGAGGGTTCCATTCCCATTCAAGGACACGTACCTTGGTTGCAGGTTTGATCCCTGACCCCAGAAGGGGCTTGCAAAGAAAGCAACCGATTGATCTCTCTCTGTCTCTGTCTCTGTCTCTCTCTCTCTCTCTCTCTCTCCCTCTCTCTGTCTCTCTCTCTCTCTCTCTCCCTCCCTCCCTCCCTCCCTCTCCCTCTCTCTTTTTCTCTCTCTCCCTCTCTCTCCCAATCCTCCCTTCCACTCTCTAAACAAACAAATAAACAAACAAACAAAATGGAAAAAATGTTCTCAGGTGAGGATTTAAAAAAAATCCAGCCGGCATGGCTCAGCGGTTGCGTGTCAACCTATGAACCAGGAGGTCACAGTTTGATTCCCAGTCAGGGCACATGCCCAGGTTGTGAGCTCCACCCCCAGTGTGGGGCATGCAGGAGGCAGCAGATCTGTGATTCTCTCTCATCATTGATGTTTCCATCTCTCTCTCTTCCTCTCTGCAAAATCAATTTTAAAAACATTTTAAAAAATATATATTTTATTGATTTTGTACAGAGAGGAAGGGAGAGGGATAGAGAGTTAGAAACATTGATGAGAGAGAATCATCAATCAGCTGCCTCCTACACGCACCCCACAGGGATGTTCCCCCAACCAAGGTACATGCCCACGACAGGAATTGAACCCCGGACCCCTCAGTCTGCAGACCGATGCTCCATCCACTGAGCCAAACCGGTTTCGGCTAAAAACATATTTTTTAAAAAAGGAAACTTAAAGTTGACTTAATAGGTTAGTGAGTTTATTGTAATAGTGGTGTGGGCATAGTGATTCTGAAACAAGTGTATGTGTACTGTTGAACTGAGCAAAGAAATAAATATATGGACGTTGTTGGGAGCCAGGCTTCTCATAATGAGAGAAAGGAGCTACAAATATAAAATGGTAAAAGGTAAGAATCATATGAAATGGCAATATTTTCTCCAGTCTGTCCACAGGAAGGATATTCACAATAACGCCTCAGTGGCAATGAGCACACCTAGCTTCCAGATCTTGGGCTCTAAGATCACTCCCCACTAAAAAGAATCAGGGTCCTTAGCAACATGGCTGAGTCCAGGGCTGGGGCTGGGAGAAGAACCTGGACCATCTTGTGCCAGAAGTAAGAATGTGCGCAAAGAATGGCAGGCACAGAAGCCAGCTTGAAGGAGCTCCCACTGACCAAATCTGGTACAATCTGAGCATAAAAACAAATTGTGATAGTAATGGATTATAATCCATTAATAAATCAGAATCCATGGATCCATATATATTTTTAAAATATATTTTATTGATTTTTGAGAGAGGAAGGGAGAAGCATAGAGAGTTGGAAACATCTATGAGAGGGATGAGAGAGAAACATCAATGAGCTGCCTCCTGCACACCTCCCACTGCGGATGTGCCCGCAACCAAGGTACATGCCCTTGACTGGAATCGAACCTGCGACCCTTCAGTCCACAGGCCAACGCTCTAACCACTGAGCAAAACCGGTCAGGGCCATGGATCCATTTTGGCAGAAGTAAACAAATAAAGGGAGAAGGGAAGGCCCTTACAGAAAACGTTAAGTGATACATTCAGAGTCACCATGTAGCAATCACTGTAGTAATTTGATCCAGCCTTCAATTACTCTGAGGAACAGGATAGTCACATAACGTCCAATCTCTGCCCACAGGTTAGACTATTTAAAACAAAGGGGGAAACTAACAGTACAGAGAGAAACTTGGGGGACCTGTCCAGGACATGGTGCCCAATGCTCTCCGCCAAATGGGGACCAGTCAGTCTCCTGCCTCTTGGAAGGACGGATGAGAACACAGCATCACCTCTGGGGTGCTCCTGCCTCCTGAATCTAGTGAGGTATCAGACAAATGCAAACCGAGGGACATTCTGCAAAACAACGGTCCCATCTCTCCGAAGTGGCAAAGCCGGGAGGACACAGGAAGAGAAGACTGACCCGGGTGACGGAAAGCTGAAATGGAAGCGGAGACCTGGGATCGGATCCTGGGCCTGAAACAGTCTCACTGCCCAGAGGACACGTGGCCTCTGAGGAAGGTGTGTGGGCTGGATAACAGTGTTTATGGATGTCCATTTCCTCATTGTGACACCCTGGCACTGCAGCTGTGTAAGAGAATGTCGCTGATTTTTAAGAAACACACACCCCAGTGCGTAGAGGTTATGAAACAACTGCCCCAACTTAGCTCTCCAATGATTCAGAGAATTTCTATTCAGCGACAGAAGGGACCAGGAAGGGAGGGAGGCGGAGCAGGAGAGGGAGAGGAGGAGGAGAGAAGAGAATGAACATCTTCCCTGGCCTTCCTCTGGGCTTGGGGTCCCTATCATGGATGCTAGGTCAGGACAGACACACACCCCCCTCCAGGTCCCCACGCGGCTGCCAGGCCAGAGCCCGCTCCCCCGCCCCTCTCCGTGAGGACCTCTCCCTAAAGGCCGGGTGGTCCGGGAGGGCTGCCCGGAGGCGGAGGCCCTGAGCGCGGGCTGGCTGCGGGGAGCGCACGGAGTGGAGAGGCCACTGGCTGGGGCGCAGTGAGGGGGCTGGCGGGCCGGGGTGCAGGGCGCGCATCCTTTCCAGGGTCCCACGTCCCCTGCGGACCCCGACGGCAGACTGAGGCCCGGAGACAGGGAGCCTCCACTTTCCCACCCCTCCCCGCGGCCCGGGGGTCCCTGTCTCGGGCGGTGGGTGGCCCAGGGGCGCCCCCCTGTCTCCCCACACCCCCACACCCCCACTCACGTAGTGCTGGCTGGGCACGAAGCGCTTCTCGAAGCCCAGGAGGGCGATGTGGCGGATGAAGGCGTCCCCCATGGCAGCCGCGCTCTGGCCGGGCGCCCCGGGCTGCGCCTTCACCCGCTGGAAAGAGGAAGCGGCCCGTCAGGCCGGGCTGGGCCGGAGGCGCGGAGAGGGCTTCCTCCTCCCCCCTCCTCCCCCCTCCCCCCTTCCCCTCCCCCTCCCCCTCCTCCCCCCTCCCCCTCTCCCTCCCCCCCCCCCCTTTCCTGGGTCCCCATGGCCACCCTGCCCCGGCCCCTGCCGCGGGCACGCACTGTGCCAGGACAAGCTTGTCCTCGCCCTCGTCCGCCCCGTGGTCCTCAAGGCCCCGAAGGTGGGGCTTCCCTCACGATGCCTCACCCCCCCAACCCCCATGGCCTCTGCCCCCCCCCCACCACACACACACACACACACACACACACACACACACACACACAGCAGGCTGCCCCCACCCGGGGCCTTCGCGCCCCTGGCCCGTCTTCTGCAAACAGTAACCCCCTCCTTCGTGTGCTCGAGGTTTCTGCTCCAATGGCACCTCCCCTGAGGGGCCTGCCAGGATAACTACACATAAAACAGCAAAACTTCATGCCTCCCCAGGCCGCTTTTCTGTTTGTACTCCGATTACTCCCCACAACTGGCAAATCACCTATGTTCTGTTTGCCAGGGTGGGAGCCCCATGAGAACCAGGACTTGGCCTGCTTGGGCACCAAGGGGACCCCCCCCCCAAACATCTGGAGAACGGCTGCACCCCTTCCTGCGTGAATGAGGGAGCGCCCCCAGGGCAGTGTGTGCGCAGCTGGAGCACACCCCCGAGGGAGCTGGCTGAGGGCCAGTGGCAGCTGGGACACACTTTCTGACCCGAGTTCCAATCCTGGTCAAAGAATGGGCCTCGGAGCTGACTGTGTCCTCCGGAGTGGAATGGACCGTCTCTGCCCAGAAGGGGGTTTGGGAGGAAGAAGTGAGGGGAGGGCGGGGGGAGCATACCCAAAGAGAGGCGGGTTTGTGTTCCCAGTGGGCAGATTGCAAAACTGAGGCACGACAAAGGCAGTGGGCACTCAGGGCACCCAGAGCCGTGGGTCCCCCGGGGTATGAGGGTTGGCGTCTGGCTCAGAAGAGCTTGTTGGGAGGTCCCTTTCAGGCACTGCTGCTCCCTCCCAACTGGAGGTCACCAGCCCTGCGGGTGACAAGCCTCGCAAGTCCTTTCCGTTTACGCCTCGAGGGTCTTCCACACAGAGGGACACGCTCTCGCTGCTCAGCAATGAAACGGAGCTGCCCACACGGGCCAACCTCCGACACGGGTGGTGGGAGAGAGGCAGGTGCGAAGCACACCTGAGAGCGTTTCTGCGCAGCTCCCGCTGCCCCAGCCGGCCTGGGTGCTGCCCAGGCGGGAGCCGGACCGGCGAGGGAAGCAGGAGGCCGCAGGTGGTGGGCCTTTCCTTGATAAGGATGCTAGTTCCACGTGTGTGCTCACTTCCTGAAAATCAATGTAGCCCGGGCAAGGAAGCTTTGTGGGTGGCTTTGTTCTCTAGGTCTGTTTTACTTTAATAAAAAGTTGAAAACAAAGAATGGAGTGACTTCGCATCAGGAGGGCGGCCCTGGCACAGAGCACTGGGCTCCCTGCTGAGCGGCTGCCCTTTGATTATTCCGTAAATGGCCCCTCCCCGAGGGACTCTGTCGGTCTCTGGCCTGCCCTGTCCCACAGGTGCTGCCTGAGACCCTGCACTGAGGCCGTGCTCACAGAGGCCATGCTTACGAGGGCATGTCTAGGGGAAGGGCCAGCGGACCTCCGCCTGAGCTCAGGGTCCGTGGCCCTCAGCACTTCCTTCCCTTCCTCCCAGAAGTCTTTCCACTCTTGCATAACTGCCTGGCTGGGCTGCCCTGGCCAGAGGACACCAGCCACGGCGGCTGGATCTGGAGCGGCAGCTGCTACCTTTCCACTCCCCTCCGGTGGCCGCCCCATGGCTCGCCTTGCCGCTCACATGCCCCCCCCGCCCCCTCCCGGCAAAGAGGCCAAGACACCAAGTGATAAGAACTCCCGTTTTGCCCTAACCGGTTTGTCTCAGTGGATAGAGGGTCGGCCTACAGTCTGAAAGGCCCCAGGTTCGATTCCAGTCAAGGGCATGTACTTTGGTTGAGGGCACATCCCTTGTGGGAGGTGTGCAGGAGGCAGCTGATCAATGTTTCTCTACCATCGATGTTTCTAACTCCCTATCCCTCTCCGTAAAAAAAAAAAAAAAAAAAAAAAAAAAAAAAATTATATATATATATATATATATATATATATATATATATATATATATATATATAATTTTTTTTTTAAGAACTTCTGTTTTACCCTGTGGTGACCTGTCAGCAGATTTACAGCCCTTTGTCAGGATGAGACAGGACTGAGTTTTACGCACAGATGAAATGATTGAATGACCAAATGATTAGAGAAAAAAAGGAGTACATATAAATGAAGGAGGTAATGAATAAATAGCAGATCGGGGAGTGTGAGGTACAAACTTTTAAAGTCTTAAAACTTTAAAATTGGAAATACATAGAAAATTGTAGAAGAATGTCTGGTTTTTTATAATGTAGAGATCTAGCTCTATATCACCTGAGAACAACTCCGAGTGCCGGAACCCCCACTTCACTGGATTGAGTGCCAGTGAAGGACTTACCCAGCGTCAGGAGTGCTTTACATCTATGATCACGTCTTACCCTCACAACGAGGTGAACAGGTCGGCACAACCATTATCCCACTTTATAAATGGGAAAGCTGAGGCTCAGAGAGGCAAATAGGTTGCCACAACTGGTAAGCAAAGAGCTGGGGCTTGGACCCAGGCAGTCTGGATCCCAGGTTCCTGCTCCTAACCACTGGGATTGCCTGCTTTGTTCTTTCTTTCTAACTTTTTTTTTTTTTTTTTTAAACTTGATTTCAGAGAAAAGAAGACAGAGGGGGAGATAGGAACATCAATGATGAGAGAGCATTCTTTTTTTTTTTTTTAATTTATATTTTATTGATTTTACACAGAGAGAAATTGAGAGGGATAGAGAGTTAGAAACGTCGATGAGAGAGAAACATCAACCAGCTGCCTCCTGCACACCCCCCACTGGGGATGTGCCCGCAACCAACGTACATGCCCTTGACCGGAATCGAACCCGGGACCTTTCAGTCCGCAGGCCGACGCTCTATCCACTGAGCCAAACCGGTCTCAGCAGAGAGAGCATTCTTGATCGGCTGCCTCCTGCACACCCCTACTGGGGATTGAGCCGGGCATATACCCTGACCAGGAATCAAACCGTGACTTCCAGGTTCACAGGCTGCTCAAACATTGAGCCATTCCAGCCGGGCTTTTTTAAATTATTTTTTTAAATCCTCACCAGGGGGTATTTATGTGTGAGGAAGTGGGTGGTGGGGGGAGGAGAGAGGCATTGCTTAGTTGCTTCTTATATGGGCCTGGACTGGAGATGGAGCCTGCAACCTCGGTAAGTGCCCTGACCCGGAATCAAACCATCCCCTTTTGGTACACAGACCTTGTGGCCGGTCTTGCATGAAGCCCCAGCTAGCACTATGTTGTTCTTGAACAATATGAGAATGAATGATGATTGGGGGATCACAAGGGAGGCGCCAGCCTGCATGAACGCCCCCAAAGAGGGAAACTCTCACATTGGGACAGACTGGAGGAGAGTGGGGCTTCCCAGTCTGGCCTCGAGAGTCTTGGCTTCTCTCTAGAGGCCACTTTCTCCACACGGAGGCCTTATCCAGGGGGCTGGGCTGACCAGTTCCTCAACCAGGAAATCCCCAAGGCTGGGCCACGGGGGACAGGCTGTGTGAGGCCCAGGCAGTGCTTCCGAAGGGAATCCTAGAACTGGAACAAGCCAGCCCTTGTGTTAGGACAATTTCCTCGAGTTTAACTTAAAGCCCTCCCGCCCGCCCCTTCTCAAGCGAACAGCCTGAGCCCCAGGCCAGGCCTGTGAGTGTGGCCTCCCGGGCCAGTGCTCGCCTGGTGCCTAGAGTAGATGGGGGCCCCGAGTCACTGCTGACAGGTAGGCAGAGGGGCCACTCGGGGTGATGCCGGCTGCCCGAGGCTGAGGCTGTAACCGCAAGCTGGTGTCTGTGCAGAAATGTCAGCCGCTCACCACCTGCTTCCCAGGGGACCCTGAATCCTCCTTTCTCAGCAAAATCAGACTAGGAATGGGCTCCGGCCAGGCCTGGTGTGGGCCTCGGGTCCTCATCAGAAGGGAGCAGGTGCCTGCACGTAGGAGACAGGCTCAGGGCACAGAGCCAGTGTTGGAAACCACACGCCCTGGAGTCTCTTCCTCCTTTGGCCTCTGGACACCGGAGGGTATGCGCACACTGACCGCTGGCTGTGGGCACGGCGGCTCGACAACCACACGGACCTGCTTTGAACCCTAACCGGTTCATTTCTATTTGTGTCCTTTGGCAAGTTAACACTAACAGTGAACCTAGTTCTTGGGCCATTGTGTCCCATGAGAGCAGGCACCCAGGCTGCTGGGACCACAGGGTGGGCTCATGTTCTCTGTGGGAACTGTTGGTGGAGAGTGGGTGGAACTGTGGGGTACAGCCTCGGGCCTAGAGCTGGCTGAGCTCAGCCCTTCCTCCGCCGGGGACAGAGCAGAGGGCAAGGCCTGGGAGTCCTGGGGATAGGGCTCTGTCCCAAAACAATGCAGCCTGACACCAACCGGGCCCTGGGCCAATACCCAGTGAATGGGGATTCCACAAGCAAGTCCTATTCCAAAACCAGGTGCCCAACTCCTCCCACGGTCTCCCAGGGCCTGCTGTGCCCCCTCCAGACTCTTCCCTGCTGAGTGGGCCCAGATGTGTCATGCAGTGAGTTATTTGAAACACACCACCCACCCACCCAAAGTTAATCCAGCAGCAAGCTAGGAACCCGGGGAATTTTGTGATGTTTGAATTTGAGATGGAGTCCAGTGAAGGGAAAATCCTGCCTCTGGATCCAGTCACCTGGGCTGGGCGGCATGTCTATCTCTCCAGCCCTGAGAGTGCAGGAGTCAGCTGGCAGCATGATGGTCAGGCTGGGGTTTTTCCAAGGGCTCAGTACCTTTGGCAATTCCAAGGGTCTAAGGACAGCAAAGGCG